GGTTCACATGCCCGCCCATCAGCACGGCCCCTGGGGGGGAGGTCCCCGGCCAGTCTCACGCTTCCCGGCTTCATTCTCTGCCATGGAATATGGAAACAAGCTTAATAATTTAAAGCTCTAGGATATACATCTGTAGACAAATGGGAAGCTTTTTTGGAAATAACTTAAACCCACAGAGAGATTTTCCTAGCACAATGCCATCCAGCCCAGCAGGGTAGGCGAGATTCCGGGCACGCTCCAGTCAAATGCTATGTTAATGCAAAATGACTGGCATGCACTCTATCCTCCTCTGCCTTCACGTGATTAAGTCCACTTGTGCTGGGGGTGTCCGTGCACGGAAATGCGCACGACTAAACTTCCAAAATAGCGACGCTTTTACTGCTGCTAGGGTGACAACAGAAAGTTGATGTTTGCTTTCTCTATTCCCTTGCTTTTCATATGTATGCTTATTTTTAGACACAAGGTTTTGACATGTCATTGCAGATATTATGCGGTGAACACATAAACTGGAACAGCAGGGAGAGGCATGAACCCGAAAACATTCCTGCTGCCGGCCTGACACTCCCTGCCTTCTTGCCAGGTGGCCAGCACCCCGGGAGCCGCCTGCCTGGATGCATATTCAAAATAATTGCACGTTTGCAAACTCTCTAATCAGTGGACTAGGAATAGAAAAGTGTGCTTACCTAAAACATATGTTTCTCAGTTGTGGCTGGCTTCATCTCCTGACATTTGAAAAACAATCTTCATGTTTAATCGAGATTCCAAATGTCATGTATAAAAAGTTTTTATTACAAAAAAGATTCAGATGATCCTATCTTAATTTTTTTCCTACAGACATATTGGTGGCATGTGTTTTTAGATCTTTTAAATTCTCAGCTCTACTCAGCTGGGTAACTAAAATGAAGTTAAAGTTAAATTCTTGAGATCGACCATGTTTAGTATACTTTTTTTTTTTTTTTTTTTTTGACAGCAGCCTGTATCTGTATAGTATACTTTTGAGTCCTGCATTTAAGGCCTTGTGTTTTAGGCAGAAAGAAAGAAAGAAAGAAAGCTATAAACTCTGGGTATTAGGGATGCTCACTGTTAGGATGTAGTCTGTTTCTAGGTATTTTCAGTGTTCAGAGATAGAAAACATATCAGAGAATTTGTTTTCTCACAGAATAAAAAAAAAATCAGGAGTTCACACCAATACTTTCAATCCAGGACTGCAGGGAGTCTGCGTGTGGGTGTGTGTTTTAATCAGCTTTACCAAGATACAATTTACATACATTTACCTATTTTAAATGAAAAAAAAAAAAAGAATAAACTGGGGACCTTTTCTTCAAGGAAGGTCTAAACTTAGCAAAGATTAAAAATAAAAGTATATGCAATGATGCGGAAGACTTTGTGCATGACACCCACCCGTGCATTCAGGCAGAGACTGAAAGTGTCCGGCCACTCGTCTGTCAAACTCGCCCCGAGGAACATTCTCTTCTAGCGCAGGGGCCCAGGACCCGGGGGGCTTGCAGGATGAGGAAGGACCAGGATGGTGCAGGCAGGTCAGAGACCCAGACAGTTCTCACGCCTGGTGTGGGGCTGCGCTAGTTGTCTGGTCACAAAGAACGACACCTGAGACACTTTTGCAGGTGGCCGTCTGTCCATAGCTCTATCGGTGCCGTAAAGCACATCGCCATGCTTAAATACACGCTTCAGGGAGGCGGCCGTTCCTTTCGGTAGGCTCCGTCCTGTCATTCCCAACACTGTCCCCTGCGATTATAAGATCTGATGCACAGGTTTCCCGTAGCAGGTACGACTGGTCACCCACACGAAGCTTTGGAGGGAGGTCGCTCTGTGCAGAGGGGCCTGACCCTCCAGCTGCTGGCGGGAGGAAATCTCTGCAAATCCTCTGCTCGTGCAGTGTGCCTGTTCTCTGCCATGCATTTGTTTACTCAGTGATTCGTATCACTGTGAACTTGTGGGTATTTATGTCATACTTTGGATTCTATTCCAGTAAGGTTATATTCCAGTGCTACTCGAAGTAGCTATTGCTCAGATTATTCCTGCGTAGGCCGTTGGAAGCTCTTTTGGTTATCACTCATGACGTATCCTCTTCCTGTGTGGGGTTTTGCGGCTGTTTTTGTTTCTTTGTGTTTACATAGAAGAAACTCTCTGGCACTACGGGACGCTCCAGTTTCATCTTTCATATTTCAATCTTACATATTTCCTGCTCTACTCCTAGAATCAGTAATTTCTCCAAGAAACCCTGGATCCTTTCATTGGAGAATGGTGCTAGAAACTGTGATCTGGGTGCTGGCTACGTTCGTAGCCACTGGGGTGTTATTTATTCTACAACCTCCCAGCTGTCAGAGCAAGGAATCATCTGAAAACAAACTAGCCCTTGTACACACACACACACACACGTCTGTAAATATTTCTGTGTGCACACACCTGTGTCTATATTCAGGCAAATGTGAGTGTGTATTGATGTCTTCAACTCTAATCCGTCACTAAAGGGATCGTGCTAGCTGTGCTTCCGTGCTTACCTGTAGCCTTTCCCTGCAACGGTGAGAAACCCGGCATCTACCTACCGTCCACCATCTGTTTGCGTCATTGTCCGATTCCAGCACACACACATTTAGTGGTTTCCGGACTGTGCCCCTGGACCCCGTGGGAAACAGCCTATCAGCTAGAGCACAGTGCTTACCGGCTGCACGTGTTGCCTTCAGTCTTGCAGCCCCTGCTCATTCCTAAACTTCTTAGGGTAGCACCTTTCCCCTTCCTTCAGGGATGGGGCTTCACACATTTGTGATGTGATTAGATTCTTCACCAACACAAAGCTGTTGTGGTTCCTAGTTACCTGATTCTTGCATTTAAAGTGTGCTCTTGTAAACAACATAGAGTTGAGCCTTGTTTCTATTTATTTCTTCTCCGAGGCTCTTCTTTTTTTCCATGCAGATGCAAAATTCTGACCTATAATATTTTCCTTCTGTAAGAAGAACTACTACCGGTTTTTGGAGGACAGGACTACTAGTGATGGTTCCCTGTTTGGTGCCTGCTGTACGCTGCGCTCAGGGTCACTCGTGAGAAATCTGCCTGCCCAGGAGTGTCCTTAGCTGGGAGAGAGGCACTCGCACCTCACGTCTGCCCCACCTGCAGAGGTGCGGTTGTCTCAGGTCCTGTCCACTTCCTCATGCCCCCACCGTTAGCCGGCAAGTCTAGGATCTGCATCGCTTTGCTTCTATTTCTGGTGCACCAGCCTAGTCTACTCGCCGTCTCTCATCTGGACTCACTCATTAACATTAATCTCCTAAGAAGTCTCGTCTCGCACCTTTCTACTCTCCACTCTATAGCAAGGACGTTGTTGCACCATTGCATTGCACAGACCCCTCAGGATCATAGAATAGATACATTTTTCCCTAAGTTTGCATGCTTTCTCTCTTGTGTGTGTGTGCATGTAGATACATACAGATGCACGCATACATGTAACATACAGGACACGCAGCACTGACCTAGGCCACACAGCATGGTTACCCACAAGCACATGAATGAAACAGGCATAAATACATGCATGAAAGTTTGAAAAATTGGGGGTTGTTAAAAACTATGAGACATGATGGCTTAGTTCAGAGCGTGGAGTTCAGAATAATTTATGAAGCAGCTCTCCTCCTTAAATTCAAATTCCGAGTATGATTTCCTGCGCGCGTAGCATTACTCACTAATTTGTACGTTCAAGTGAGTAAATGGCTCGGAACGCATCTCAGGGTGATTGATTTAATTCAACCTGCACGGGGGAGATAAGACTGACGTGCTGGGCGCCAGCTGTGGAGTATTTTCCACACGAGGATGTGGCCGCTGTGCCGTATTCAGCTGCTCGGCCCTGGCATGAATAATTAATGTATTTGACTTGCTCATACTAACTAGCTTGAGGAAAAGTCCACTAAAGCCAGTATTATTTTGGCCTCTGATCTACACTGGCCTTCAGTAACTGCAGTGACAGATACGTAAATTGAAAAGAAGCTATGCTTTTGTAAAACAACTGACTTTGTGTAAAGCTGTGAAGGAAGGAAACCTAAGTCCTTCTGTTTCTCCTGATGACAAACAGGCTCAGGTGTTGGCGATGGCTTTGCCAGCAGGGAGACTCAGTGCTTAAAAGTGTGAAAACAGGAAAACAATGAAGAACGGCTGGGAAAATATCAGCGGTAGGTGGGTCCGTCACTCCTGCTGGGTGCATGTCAAATATTTCCTGTCGTCACTGGTCACTGCGGGAAATGAATGTTGTTAATGATTGTAAGTCCAGGCACGGGTGCAGTGGCTCACGCCTGTAATCCTAGCTCTCTGGGAGGCCGAGGTGGGAGGATTGCTCGAGGTCAGGAGTTCGAGACCAGCCTGAGCAAGAGTGAGACCCCGTCTCTACTATAAATAGAAAGAAATTAATTGGCCAACTAATATATATAGAAAAAATTAGCCGGGCATGGTGGCGCATGCCTGTAGTCCCAGCTACTCTGGAGGCTGAGGCAGGAGGATCGCTTGAGCCCAGGAGTCTGAGGTTGCTGTGAGCTAGGCTGACGCCACAGCCCTCACTCTAGCCTGGGCAACAAAGCGAGACTCTATCCTCAAACAAAAAAGATTGTGAGGCTGGGCCGTGCGTTGTAACAAGTGCTTCTTGACAGAGAAGACAGCAAGGAAGCCGTCATTTTAGAGGAACTTCTGTCATAAGTTTTGGATAAGAATAATTCTTAGGCTTCCTATTCGTTTTCTATGGCTGTGGTGACAAATGGCCACAAACCAGGCAGCTTAAAACAGCGCAAGCGTGTTATCTCGTGGCTCTGCGGGTCAGAGTGCGGGCCGGCCCCTTTCTGGAGGACCCGATCGGAACCTGCCCCCCGGGTGCTGGCAGGGTTTGGGTCCTCCCGGTTGCAGCACTGAGGGCCTCGTTCCTCTGATGGCTGTTGGCTGGCCATGTCTTTGGCTTTTAGGGAAAATATTTTATTTTCTGTGTTTCTTTTCTTTTCTTTTTTTAGAATTAGCCCAGGGAATGAAGAAAGATGATGGCGTGGGATTCCAGGCAGAGGAAATAGCTTGAGCAAATTGCAGAGGCAAGAAACAGGAGACGTTCGCTCCGGCGATGCATTTGTACGGAAAGATTCCGGAGCAACAGGTAAGCTCGGGCAGAGGGCCCCTGTCTCCAGCGACAGCAGGTTTATAGCCTTAGCGTGAGACTGGTCTCTCTTGTCAATCCCGAGCTCGTTTATCTACGGTCTCTTGCCTGACTAAATGCTCGCCCTTCCCCCCACCAGCTGACTGAATGGACCCCCTTGAGGCCAAAGGAATATTCTAGGGCAAAGTTGCCTGCCAGGAGGAGGGAGGTCAGACATGCCTTATCATCCCCCCCTCCCTTCTTGGAGACTTCCTTTGTTACCCATTAACAGGCCTAAGGGTGTGCAAGACACACCTGCAGGTCCTCAATTTATGCAACAAATGGTGGCTTATCTCTGGTAAACAGTTTATGTTAAAACATTCCAAGTCTTTAGACAAAGCTTCATGTCTTTAGCCAATTACAATCCGAAGAATCTTTAAACCCCCCTATAACCTGTAAGCCTCCCCTTCGAGATGGCCCACTTTGTGGGCCAAACCAATGTATGCCTCCTACGTATTGATTGATGGCTTTACCCGGAACCCCTGTCTCTGAAGTGTATAAAAACCAAACTGTAACCCAGCCACAGGGAGTCCACTTGCCCAAGGCCTCTTGGCAGTGGCTCCGGGTCACGATCCTCAAATTTGGCTCAGAATAAATCTCTTTAAAATTATTTTGCAGAGTTTGGCTTTTTTCCGTTGACAATTGGTAGAAGTCACAACAAACTAACGCGCAAAGAGAAAAGCAGCGCACATGCGGTGGGGGCTCGGGGCACTGTCCTGTTGGACCCCCTGCCATCTGATTGGGGTGTCGGGTGGGGAGGGGTGTTCAGGCCTCAAAAGATTTTCGAAGAAGACGAAACTGAGAAAAACAGTCTTAGAGAGCATATACCAGCAAGAAAGACTTCAAAGGACGAACTGATGCTCGCATTCTGTAAATATGAACACGCATCTGGGGACCGTGTGTGTGACCTGCCCTCTGGCTGTGGAGTGAGGGCCCCCTGGCCCCCCAGTGCCCGTGGGCGTGTCTCCACGGAGCTCCCGCTCCACCCCTCACTGCCGTCCTCAAAGCCCACGGGTCCCCACGTGGCACCGTGGCCACACAGCGCTTCGCAGACCCTGTCATGTAAAAACGTACCTTTCTCGACAGCAAGGTGCAGAATTTGCTCTTAGGAACTGAACAAGATATGGACAGATATTTTTTTTCCTGCTCGATGTGTAGGCTCTCTTTTTGTTAAGCGCTTGACACATGCGTTCTCATTTTATCCTCAAAAAACTCTGTAAAGTAAATATGATTGTCGTCCCATTTTACATGTCAGAAAACAAAACATCTAAAACCAAAGATAACTTGCATGCATCAAAATTTATGACAGGAGAGCCAGGATCTGAGCGGGGTTCAGTCCCCTCCCCCGCCAAAGCCCGTTTATCTTTCCCCCAAGTCCTGCAAACTTTCCGGGCTGTCTGTTCTCCCCTCCCTGTATTCCAGTGAACCCCAGGCTGCCCTTTTCTCTGCACCCCTCTCGACACAGGCAAAGAGAAAGAGAGAAAAAAGTCGGCGTCACAGATAGCAGCAGTTCACATCCTGGTACTGTTTTTCGTCAGCTGTCTGCCGGGGTAAGCAGCCCGAGATCTTCCTGCTTCCAGCTCTTAGTTGCTTATTGATTCATATTGAATGGTTACCAATCAGTCATTACCCTTTTAATCAATAAGCACTTATTGAACATCTTTTATAGGAAACGCAGAAGACTAAACCACGTGGGGAGAAAACTCTTCCTGGTTTCTGAGCAAATTTTCTCAAAGGGGTTTGATGCTCTGAAAATGCCAGTCCATGCCAGGATTTGCCTCCGAAACGCTGAAATCCTATGCGGCAAGAGAAGGTTCCTGTCCGCGACTGTTCTATTATACCACACCATGGTCAGCTCTTGTGTTTTCTGCACACTTTATTCAACAGGAGGATTAATGCAGAAGCTCCTATTAATACTGAATCTGTTTCCTGGCTCCTTCCTCCTTCCTCTGCAAGCTGCACATCCGCCCTGCTTGGGGAGTCACTGTGTGAGGCAGAGAGAAGCGTTCTGTGACACCAGTCCCAGCTGGTGCGTGCCATACTGGAAAAAGCACTTAATTAATGACTGTCTTTCGTTTGCTCTGGATTGCAGCTTTGTATTAAAACACAAACACATCATGTAAATGAGCAAAACAAAACAACTAAAGTTAAGCAATCAAGCGGGTCATTTTTTACCTAGCTTTAAAAACATTCTGTGAATTCCCGTTAAATTATACTGATTTAGGATTTTTAAACTCTTTTGAAAATGAAATACATACATGTTGTCCCATTCCTCATGAATGATCAGCAATGAGCCTGCCTCGAGTAGTTCAGAATGCATGCCCTTTTTTTATTAGCTACTTTAGGATTGCTTTAGTTTCAACTCCGAAGATTAAAAATAATAAACTAATAAAAATGTAATGAGATGCTACAGCCATTGTTTTATTACAGTAATTTCTTTTCTTTTTCTTGTAATGGAGCTTCTTAAATAATCCTTCTGACAATGTAAAAATTTAAAAGATGATATACTTTTATTATTATAACTGCTTAAGGACAAAAGAATAATTCATACGTTTAATGTTTCTTGTCAAAGCCTCATCATACCTAAAAGAAGATAAATACACTATAATAAATTATCATTGCCAAAGGATAGGTATTTAATAAATATGTATTGATAAGGATCACAATTTCTATATCACCAAGAACTCTGAAAGATATTATAAGTCTTGTTTAAAAAATATTCTCACTTTGAATTCTATATTTTTCCAATTCCTTGGCATGACAATAAAGGGGCAAACATTGGCAGACATTGTTGGAATAGTAGGCCACGATGGGAAGGCGTTCTTTCAATACGTTTTTATGTTATGCCCAGGGTGGTGCCATGATTGTTTCCATAGGAACAGGAATTTCTTTAAAGCAGAAAGGAATGCTAAGAGAAAAAAAAGCACATGGGGAAATAATAATTATACAAAATATTAGTTCATGCCTGTGGAGTATTCATTGCATTATTCATATCCATCAAAGAAATAATAACTAAACTGAGAGCATTCAAAAGAAAATTGCTCAACGCTCTTTCCATTAAATGGATTGGTCGCTTTGCAGCTTCTGTCTGTTCTAAAAATGCCCTGTAATGATGGAGTTGATTAGGGGATAGTGACTCTGGGCTCAGGGGAAAAATTAAAACTGAGCAATAGCCAAAATGGTTAAGTGACTTTAGTGCCGAGTGATGCTCGTCTTAAATCTGCACCCACCTTCCTTCCAGATGTCCTCGGGGAAGGCCCGTCTCTACTCTTGCATCAAGTTCATTCTTGCTTCCTGGAAGGGTTTCTTGGCCACACCTGGGGCAGTTTGACTGTGTTAATGTATTATTCTCCAAGGGCCATCTACGCGCCATGCACGTGCTCTATATGGGAGGGATGCTACTGCCCCTGTCTATGTGCAGACGTGTTTCAGGCCTGGGCAGCCGTGAGAGGACAACATGATGTGCTGATATAAATACGCATGGCGAAGTGATCACTACAGATAAGTCAGTTGAGATGTTCATCACTTTAGATAGTTACCTCTTTTGTGTAATACGTGTGGTAAGACCGCCTGCAACCTAGTCTTCCAGAAATTTCTCAGTATTCGATATTATTAACTACAGTCCTGCACATTTTTGTTCTTTCACTAAGTCTTAAGTCGTTTACGAGTAGCGCGATGCAGTGTTTTTAAAGGTGTGCATAGATCATAGCATCTGCAGCTGCCTGATTCGTTCAGAGTTGTGGCTGAGATTTTCTGCAGGTGAAGTTAAGAGCTCTGCACTGTGAGGTGCGGTGATCGGCCTTCCCCCGGGCCACCTGTGTTTTCCAGTTATCTATTAATTTAACACTTAGGTTCTTACCAGTTTTTTTTTTTTTTAATTTACCACTGCTATATTAGCCATTCTTTGTACATATTTTCTTACTTTGAGATACTTGCTTTTAAAAGTACCTTGAGGGAATATACCCAGGCACAGAGGTGCTGTTAACTTCACCTGCAGACATGTCGCCACTGTCAACTTCATGAAGTGTTGACAGGTAGTTAGTTCTTCCTCAGGAGCGGGTTGGGGCTCACTTTTACCCAGATGCAGCCAACATTTGGTATATGGCATTTAACACTGGAAATCAAACTTCAAATTCAACTTGATTTTCTCTGATGACGTGGGAAGTTGAACATGCAAGTGTATTAATAGCCTTTAAGTCTATGGAACGTTTGATAATTTATATGTATTCTGGCCAATTATTAAAATGCACTATTAACAGCTTTTATTAAATACTCATTAATTATGCATTTTCTTATTTTAAGCTTCTATTGGTCATATAGAAAGTTTACCTTCCTTTTTCATTAGTTTTCTAAAATGAGGCTTTAATTTGTTGAATTTGAGTGATGCTTTAACTATTGCCATAAACTTATGCACCTGTTTGTTGGCATCTCGCTCTAACTAGACACACAGTGTACATACCTGTCTGATTTTGTTTTCTTGTTTAGCTTTCATAATACAGATTTCAAACACACATGGAGTAGAGAGGATAGTATAAGGAACCCCAGGTAACCCTCATTGTCAACAACTATCACATCACGTGTAAAAGCTACGCATGCTCTCAGCGTGGCGTGGTACTCCTGAGGATGCTAACTTCGAGTGCTCGCCAGTTGAGTGTTTCTTGGGTTTCTCTAATGCAGATTCAGTCCCCCACCATTTTCATTCTGTATTCTTTGGAAGGAAGTCACCACGCACAGCTCACACTTACAGAGTACGGATTGCACTCCACCTTCTCGAGGGAGAAATATCTACATGATCTGTTGGCAATTCTTCTGTATAGGAAATTTGAATTTTCTCTTCCACTCATTTAGTTAATCATTTATTTATAACAGCATAGACTCATGAATATTTATTTTATACTTTGGATTATAATCCAACACAACGCCATTGATTTTTTGGCCATCTGGGGGGTTTGGCAGTTGGCGGCTCTTTCAGCAGCTCCTGAGTTTCTTCGACACGCTGCTGCCGTTGTCTGCGTTTTTATTTTTTTTTCTTTAAGCTCGATCTCACTTTCTGGCGCTGCAAGATACTCTGTACTGAATTTGTGTGTTTCCCACAGTGGTCCTGGAGCCAGGTATTTAGCTGAGGGGCCCCCGTTTCTTTTACTAGAGACCAGTGTCAAAGCCAGCACCCGGGTCCCGGGCGCTCGCTGTCTGTCGCTTAGGAGGTTTCCTCGCCGGCCCGAGCTGGAGGGAAAGGGGCGGTGTGTGCACGTGCTGTGCGCGCCCTTCCGTGTGCACATGAGCTGGACGCGGTTCCTGCTGACGTCCCCGACTGCAGTCATCGCTGCCGCAGGGCCGGCCGTTCTGCTCGCTCTCCTCCCGCCTCCCATTCCGGCAGCGAAGCCTGGCTCCCACCTCTGCCCTCTGTGCCCAGGACTACTCAGCTCCCACCCACGCGCCTGGGGCTCAGGACTGCTGACCTGGACCCCGCGGGGAGCAACTTCACAGCTGGGGTCAGGGCTTCTGCCGCTGCCCTCAGCTCCGCTCGGCTCCAAAGCTGCTGGAGTCAGCATCCCTTCCCTCCCCGCTGCCGGGAGGTTACGTGGTAAACTCTTAAAACAGTGGGATCTTTCTATCACAGTCTGCATTTCGTCCTGGGATCCTCAGTCTCCTAATTTTTAGAAAAAGAAATACATTAGAGTTCATTCGTTCTGTTGTAAAATTCGGTGGCTTTGACAAGCGCATGGTCTCACGTACCCACCACTGGCGGGCCACACACCCCAGCTCCACCACCCTGGAGCGTCCCCTGTCCCCCACCCCACAGCACTCCACCACCCAGCCCCCGGGCCCTGCCCCCGCATCTGTTCTCTGTCTCCGTAATTTTCCTTGTCCAGAATGTCATATAGATGGAAATATACAGTATGTAGGCTTTTTGGGTTGGTTCCTTTCCTTTAGCAATATGTATTCAGTATTCACCCATGTTTCTGCGTGGCTTGGTAGGTACCTTGCACCCTTTTTATCAACCAGCGGTGGGTATCCGCTGCAGGGACCTGCCCCTCCTTGTTTAGCCATTCACCTATTGAAGGGCATCTCGGTTGTTTTCACTTTTGGCAATTATGGACAGGCTTCCATAAACATCTGTGTGCAGGTTTTTGCGGGTATACATTTTCAAATCCGTTGGATAAATGCTCAGGGGTGTGATTATTGTATCATATGGTGGGATTATGTTGAGATGTGTTAGAAATCATCAAACGGCCTTCCAAACTGGCGCTACTAGCTTGCATCCCCACTGGCAGCGAATGAGAGTTCCTGTTGCTCTGTGCCCTTGCCAGAAATAAGTAATATCGGTTTTTTGGATTTTAGCCATTCTAACAGATGTATTGCGGTATCCCAATTTCGTTTTAATTTGAATTTCCCTAATGACAGATGATGTTTAACATCTTTTCATTATGCTTAATTTCTGCCGTTATACCTTTTTTGGTAATGTGTGCGTTCAGATCTCTCGCCGAATCTTTAATGGGATTGGTTGGTTTCATATTTTTGAGTTTTACAAGTTCTTTGCATATTTGGATACAGGCCTTTCAACACAGTTATGTTTTGCAAATATTTTCCCAATCCGTGGTTTCTGTTCTCATTGTTTTAACCGTGTTTCAAAAAGTAGAAATTTGGGGTTTTTTTTGAGTCAGGGTCTCACTCTGTCGCCCAGGCTGGTGTCAAACTCCTGGGCTCAAGAAATCCTCCCCCCTCGGCCTCCCAAAGTGCTGGGATGATAGGAGCGAGCCACTGCACCCAGCCAGAAGTGTTTAATTTAATAAAGCCCAACTTACCATTTTTTCCCTTTCATGATAATGCTATTGGTGTCAATTTAAAAACTCAGTACTGAATTCAGTAATTCAGTAGACTTAATCTTCTCTTGCCACAAAAACAACAACAAAAAAATGGGGTAGGAAGTGAAATGATAGGGGTGTCAATCTGCTTCACTGTAGCAACATTTTCACTGCTCATGTGCACTCCGCAGCATCATGTTATATACCTCAAATAATAAGCACAATAAAGTTTATTCTAAAAAAATGAATACCAAGCTTCGTAGATTTACCCCTGAGTTTTATTTTTCAGAAAGTTTTATACTGCTGCATTTTGCACTTAGGTCTCTGAGCCGCTTGGAACTAATTTTTGCGTAAAATGTTAAGACCTGTGTTCAGGTTTGTTTTTTAAAATTGACTTTTTGTTTGCATAAAGACATTCAGTGTTTACAGCACCATTTGCTGAAAGGACTATCCTTTCTCTGTGTGCATTGTCTTTGGGTCTTGGTTAAGGCCCATTGACTGTTTTGTGTGGGGCTGTCTCTGAGCCTGCCGTCCCGATTGTAGACACTGTCACCAGCAGCTCACTGTCCCGGGCACGATGGCTTCACGGTAAGCCTTGAAACTGGGTCGTGCACCTCTCAACCCCGCTCTTCTTCTTCAGTGCGGTTTTGGCTACTTTAGGTTCTTTCTCTTTCCGTATAAATTTTAGAGTCTGCCTGTCAATAATAAATGAAATATTTTATTGTAATACAGAAAACATTTTCCTGTGATTTTTACAGGAATTAAGCTGAATCTACACATCAAATCAGAAAGAATTGGTATTTTAGCAATATTGAGTCTTCCAGTTTATGACCAGGGAATATTTCTCCTTGACTTAGATCTTTGATTTTTTTCCCTAAGAGTTCTGTAGTTTTCCACAAATGGATCCTGTAACTATTCTGTTAGCTGCATACCTAAGTACTGACTGCATTTTTTGGTGCTGCTGTAAATGACATTTTAAAATTTCAAACAAATTGTTCATTAGATGAATATTTTAGATTCTTTTTGTTGTTAAGTTTACTGAGGTTTTTTTTCTTTCTTTTTTTATTCCCGTTATTAATGAGGTAATCTCTTTCATTATATATTCTAACATACATATATATAGAAACACAAATATGCACATATATATATATATATCTTTTAATCCATTATATGTGATACATGCATATATCGTGCACGTATGTGGGCATTTTCCTGCTGGCTGGTGATGTGTTTGTCCCGGTCCCATCTGGCTGGTCATGTTCCCGACTGCTCTGCAGCGTTTGTCACTGTGCTGCTGACACGCCCCTTCCCCGCCCCCGGTGACTCCACGCGGTCCCGACATGTCTGTCTCTGCAGAGCTGGTCCCCTTTCCTCTTCCACACTCAAATGTGCCACAAAGCTCCGTTTGGTGAACTTTTTTTTTTTTTTTTGAGACAGAGTCTCACTCTGTTGCCCGGGCTACAGTGAGTGCTGTGGCGGCAGCCTCGCTCACAGCAACCTCAAACTCCTGGGCTCAAGCGATCCTCCTGCCTCAGCCTCCCAAGTAGCTGGGACTACAGGCATGCGCCACCATGCCCGGCTAATTTTTTCTATATATTTTTAGTTGGTCAATTAATTTCTTTCTATTTATAGTAGAGACGGGGTCTCGCTCTTGTTGAGGTTGGTCTTGAACTCCTGACCTTGAGCGATCTTCCTGCCTCAGCCTCTCAGTGTGCTAGGATGAGAGGCGTGGGCCACCGCGCCCGGCCAGTTTGGTGAACTTCTTTATAACTCTCCTCCTCCAGGTGGTCCTGGCAGCTCTCAGCGCCGATAACCCACCCCCATGCCGTGCCGGGCCTGCGCTCTGGCCCTCTCCCCTGTCTTCTCACGAAGACACAATTCTATTTATATAGTTTACAAGAAAACAGACAAGATTTACGTATGGTGGTAGGAGCCAGAGCAATGGTCACTTCTGAGAGTGTTTGGCAAGCATGTGGCGCAGGGAACCCTTTGGAGGGCTATGGATATTCCATATATTTATCAGTACAGTGGCTTTACCCTTAATATTTGTGCATCATAGTATATTACATCTCAGTTCCCCTTTATAAAAAATCCATTCTGGATACTATATGGAAAACAGATTATAGAGAAACAAATCTGCTAAACTCCTGTAGAAATTCAGATAATAGTTTATGGCGAATTAGAGATTCCCGCCCAGAGAGCCACACCCGCCTCGTACGGAGACTACAAATGGATTTTCTTTCCAGACACGTTGTTTGCCAAGAAACACGTCTGCAGGCCTCAGAAAATAACCCGCCCGGCTCCTTCCTCTCCCGGCGGCTGGTCAGCGCGTCGTCCCGGAGGGACGTCGACAACGTCGGTCACAGTCGGGCTCTTCCTCTTGCAGAGCTCCCATCCGGTCGCCCGTCCGTCCGTCTGTCAGAGGTGGACGGTTCCAGCTGCCGTGCCCGCCCGTCCTGCTCACCACACGTCTCCTTCGTTGTCTCCGGCTCTGCCTCTCAGGGGTCTCCTCTCCGTCCCTCTCCCAGTGGCGAGCCCTTATTTGCTGTGGGTCAGTTTCGAACTCCCTGCCCCGACCTGCAAAGCTGCTGCAATCTTGTCCCACCGTGCTAAACCTGACCTTTCACCCCTCCTTCAGAACTCTCCGCTTACCTCCGCTCCACCGGGCGTCCCAAGCTGCCCCCCGCGGGCCGTCCCGTCTGTGTTTAGCAGCCAAGCCCTGCCCCTGCCAGCCCACCCTCCTTCCCGTCCGGCAGTGGCCAATTCCCAGCCTGCACGACAGAACCCGCCACGAGTCCCGCCCGTGGGCCCGGGACTGACCTGAGCGTCCGGGACTCGCCAGGACGCCAGGTGCGATGAGTCCTCAGTTTCCTCAAAGGCTGGAGGGAGCCAGGCAGGTGAGTCACCTGGTGGACCCGTCACACTCTGTCTGCAAGCACGTCCTTTCACAGGCAAATAAAACTTCGCTGAGGTTTCCGAGCTTAGGTCTGTTGTAGTGACTTGACCGATGCCAGGTGGGTTTGTGTCGAGGATCGGGATGTTGGACGGGGCTTCCTGAAACCAAGTCTCAGCTTTACCCTTTCGAGGCTCAAGTCAGGTCCTCACATTTAAATAAATATTAATGTTATTAATTATACTTCCGGGCATCCTTTAGTGGCTGAGCAGCATCTGTTGCACAGTTTCGTAGCACGGCTGTTAGCGTTTGACGTCGGTCTCTCCCAGGGACGAGGGAGGTTCTCTCCCCGCCTGCCTGTCGTAAGCTCTCGGGGACATTTCCTTGTGTCTTTGCATCTTAGTAAGACTGCCCTTCCCCTCAAGTGCCAATTCATACTCCCTGATTAAATAATTTTGAAATCAGGGATGGTGTCCTCACTAACTTTGTGTCTCTGAACTTTAGCTTAACGAGTCTGTGCCATTAGTGCATGCAGTGGGCATTCTTTTCTCCAGTTTTTTAAGTCTGTAAATGTGTGAACTAAATCCTCTGGGGTCCCGGCGAGTTTTACCATCTACTTTTGTGATCTGCTATTTTGTTCATCTGGAATGGGAGTTTTTCTTTTCTTGCCTGGAAGCACAAATTATAATCCTTAAGTAGAAGAAATATGAATATAGTTAGTTTTGACAAAAAAAAGGCAGAGGGAAAAGATTTGTGAATTGCAAAGAGCACGAATTCATTGCTGCTCAAATTGCAAGCCGGAGAGTTAGTCCCTGCTGTGCTGTGTTCTCAGCCCAGCTACCGGGAACACTCTCATCAAAGCCCAAACAGAGTTTATCATGCTTTTGACCAAATGTTCTTTGAAAAATTGCTTTCGCCTTTCATCACTGTGGTTATTGCTACAGGAATATGTGTGTGCTGTTATTTCAAAAGGGAAGTGCCTTTGGTCCATGCGTCTTATCTTTCACGCTGCTCAGTACACAGCACGTCAATGGAAAAGGAAAGTGTAAGTCAGTTAAAAGAAGATGGACTATGGGAGTTTCACTTTGATTCTGTCTTGGAAACTATGCATGTATGTTTAATTTTATTGGCTAAGTCAGGTCCATGATTCCTTATCTGCGATTATAAAATCTGAAAAGTTCTGAGAAATGAAGGTTTTTAACAAATATTTTCTGTTACATCTGCCCTGGACTCATGCCAGCCTGGCTATCATCTGTACCCTGGCAGAGTGTTGGAATACGAGGCACTGTCCCAGGCTCTCCTGGGAGGTTCTGTGACGTGAGAACATTCTTAATCCTCAGTGCTGCAGGTCGCAAGAGACCTGGTGCAGGGACTATGTCCCTGTAACACAGGAACGTGGTTCCAGGAACTCAAAACTATAGAAGGGTGTTAAATAGAAAGTGAAGTATTCTTGTCTTCAGCCCCAATCTACTTCTCCTTATATCCCTGACCACTCATCAATTTCTCCAAATTATGACATTTCATATTGTTTTGTCTATGGACTATAATTTTCATATAAAAATTGTTGGGCATCTTCCTATCATTTTCTAATTGCCTTTCTATATAATTGAGAAAACAAATATAGGTAAGATTATATGCCTTAAAAAAATCATTCTATGATTTGAATGATTTAGTTTGGAATAGTTCCTCAACCGTGGTCCAGATGTGTTTTTGTCCCTGGTGTAGTTTTGGTTTGAGGCTCTATTTTGTGGCTCTGATGTCTACTTGGATTTTCTTTTTTTTTTGGAAGGGTCTTGACTATGTACTGTATTGATTTTTTTTTTTCCAAATGGAAAACATAAGTGATGTTGGCTCTCCCATTTCTGAAATTGACTTTATTTGTCTGGAATGATAGTTTAGCTAAGTATCAAATTATAGTTTCTAAATCTTCTTTCTCTGTGACCTTAAAAAAAGATGTGAATTTTACTTTTAAATGTCTACAGTATAGTTTTCTTCTACATTTGTCATTGATTTTACACACAAAAATTTAGGAAAAGTTTTCCTTGAAAATAAATAGTGCAGGGAATTGAGGTGTAATGGCAACCCTGGTAAACCCATCCAAATATTTTCTAAGACTCGAGTCATGTTTTATCTTATGTTATTCTTTCCCCTGACTGAATCGCCACCCCTCATTCTCTAGTAGCTAACATGCATCACCGCGCCTAGAATCAAAGTAAAGTATTTAAATTACCTTCAGAGATAGATTATTTTTCAACCTCTTCTCTCTATAGCTTTATATTATCATATTTCATTCGTTTTATTAAAGCAATATTTTATGGAAATGAACACAATTAAGGTGCTTTGCCCCACTAAAATATTATCTCAGGTGACTCAAATTTAACTTAGATGTTTTACTTCCTCCCTCCAGAAATGAAATGGGGAAGGATTCTCAAAAGAAAAATAATCCGTCTTTTATAGTTTGCATAACAACATGATTTAAAATTATTTATTAATCTCAAAAGTTGAGGACGTCTACATTTCTGTGGTTTCTCATTTTGTACCAGTTAAGCGCATTTAACTACAAATATATGGCTTTGTCTCCTTTTAAATAAGTGACCTTGGAAAGCTAACTCCCACCCTCCCTGCCCGCCTTATGTGCTGAGCTGCTGTTGCGGCCATGTGTACAGCTAGTGTTACAGCTCTTGACCGGGGAAACCGAGCGGCTCTCGGGGAGTCGGAGAGCAGCCTTTATTCTTCCACAGCAGGCTCAGCACACCTAGTGTTACAGCTGTCTTCGCGTCTTCCGATCCTCTGACCCTTCTGCTTTTATACCCTTTGTAGGGCTCAAAAAGCGTCCAATCAACTACAAGCTTTAACATCCAATCAACATCATGCTTTGACACCCAATCAAAAACAGAGGGATTCAAAACTTACCTAATCAGGATCACGCAAGCAGCGTGGCCGTAAACAGGCAGGGCACAGCCAGGCCTGGGGGCATTCAGGCACGTGGGGCTCCAGGCGGCTCTCTGCCTGGGGGCCTGGCCCCACCAGCGTGCCCTCCAACTGGCCACGCGCAGCGCTGGCCCGTGGAGATGTGGAGCGATGGGGAGGTGGCAATCGGCTGCGTCCCGGCGCCCAACATTTTCCGTGTCACTGCCCCCTTCAGAGCAAGGGTCGGAGCCTCACTTCAGATCTGCAGGCACCGATACAAATCGGATTAACTTTGTTAAACCTTAAACAAGTCTGACTTTTTTACAGTGACACTTTGAGTCTTGGGAGGAGAGCTTCATCAAGAAGGCAAACTGAACAGATAATCCAAATAAATCATTAATTTTGGGGGGCTGATAGAAATGTTTGGGAAGAAACTATAGATTGTAGGATCCATCATGGCATTTGCTCAATTCGAACCACAATTTCCTAAATACTTACTTCATTTTAGATAAACGTATTGTTTTAGGAACTTAAATATTTAAAATTAACTGCTCTCCTAACCTCTCCTAATGAACTTTGGATCTATTTGGTTTATTATTTGAAGCTATAGAGCGAACTATACAGTCTGCATTGGTCCTTCAGATGGATACAGAGTTTAGAGTGAATCTCCCATCACCACTCCATGCCAAAAACAGACACTCCAAATACCACTTTTTAACAGAAAAATATAAAGAGTTTAGTGAACTAGTGAGTCTTCATGCCGTCTTGTGCAAAAACCAGTTTGCTCTAAGTGTGTATGTTCACGTGAACCGATAACAACAGCCCCCGTGTAGACGTGTATTGAATGCTCTTTTAAAATGCTTTAAAACATTATTTACTTTAGTATAAATTGTTTGCTGGGACAGCAGGTGGTCCAGAGGACACACTGAGCGGTGCTGTGGCAGATCACTCTTTGATAAGGAAAGTGTGACCCAGGCACTGGCCAAAGTGGTGTCTGGTAGGGTCTCAGAAAGGCCGCCTCCAGGAAGAAGCGAATTTGGAACAACTTAAATGCAGCCACTATGGGAAGAGTCCATCGTTAGAATCGCTGGTACTTCTGCTGGACAAGGAACTCTTGGGACGGGTTTGGGAGCTCGCCGGCCAGCCCCTGCCAGGAGCGCGGCGTGCCCGGGGAACGGGAAGCGATCCGGGCGGCGGACCTGCGCCCCAACCTGCGCTTCCACCTTCTGGAGGGCATCTGCAGGGAGGAGTCTCGGCCCTCCTGCTGCCGCGGGTGGTTTTATCTCTGCTTCCACGTCGGGCCCACGGCGGCCTGTTCCTCGCCCCGTCCCGGGCACCGTGTGAGCTGCTCTGTGGGGTCACGGGGCAGTGCTCACGGGGGCTCCGCCCTGCAGACACGTGCTCCTCACTCCACTGCTGCACCCTGGGCGAGCTCGGGGTCTCCCCAGGCACAGGGTGGAATCGCTCCCGGGCCAGATGTGCTCGGGTCTCCCGACAATTGCAGGCGGTGTTAGATCTTCTGTTCTAACTGCAGGACAATCTTACACCACAGTCACAGGCGGGCAATGCACTGTTAAACGACCTGAATTAGAGACGTCTCTGTTCCCATCGAGGATGACGTAGCATTCGAGTTATAACACAGGGTTTGAGTTATAAAACACGGTTAATACCCAAAACACATATTAGAAAATCTCTCTTAGCTTAAAAGTCAGGCAGCGGCAATACGTGCTATAATGAGCTTTCCTTTCTATAAGCTCCTCCAGGTATTATGGGGCACATCTCATAGGACGATGTTCAGGATAAAAAGATACCAAATGCAAAATCAATTCCATTTTTAGTGAGGGTAAAATGGCATAAAGCGGCTGAAACAGAGAAGTTGCATAAGTATTTGCTATGTTCATGGCAGTTACTTAAAACGATGCACATTTCGGTTATGGTTGTTAATATTATGGTGATATGGGCTATAAGAAGTTTCTGTATTAAAAATATGGCCATTTTATAAAATATATTTTTAATGTTTGGAATAAAATTTGTTTTAATTGATGTAAGGTGATGAAAGGGAACCTTAATAAGATGGATCATTTTGGTGGGATGCATGTCTCGTGGTTTGCTCCGATTCTGAGCAGGGCTCCCAGGGACGGGTGCTGACCCGGCTCTGCACAGCTGCCGCTTCCGGTATGACCCGCTTGCTTGCTCCACCGTAAGCACAGCTACTATCATGCCTTTCTCTGTAGAAAACTCAATGAGGGTGAGAACCCATCGTAGAGAAACAAATAACCTCTTGGTCTCTCTCTCCCTCTCTCTCTGTGTAAATATATATGATTTGTTTACAGTGTCTCCTTTTTATTTTTTCACTTGCTACCTGCACTCATTCGGGGTTGCCAGACTCTGTCCATCCTGCCTCTTACAGCCGCCGGGTGGCACGGCCCCGAGCGGGACGCACCGCTGTTCAGAAACCCAGCAGGGTTGGTACCACCTGTCGGGTAGCGACTCCCATCCAGCCTTCGCCCTCACGAGGATCAGACCTGGATTTTCCACTTCTGTCTGCAAAGGAAGGCACATGTTATTTGCAAAGGAAGGCACATGTTCCTGCTGAAACTGTTCCTTCAAGAGGGCAGGGTTCTCCTTTGTTGTCTAACAGAACGGGAGCCATGTGCCCATGGGGGCAGGTGGCACTCTGCCCATCCCAGCAGGACGGGAGTCCTGTGCCCGTGGGGACAGGGGACACTCTGCCTGTCCCAGCAGGACGGGAGTCCTGTGCCTGTGGGGACAGGGGACACTCTGCCTGTCCCAGCAGGACAGGAGTCCTGTGACCGTGGGGACAGGTAGCACTCTGCCCGTCCCAGCAGGACGGGAGTCCTGTGACCGTGGGGGCAGGTGGCACTCTGCCCGTCCCAGCAGGATGGGAGTCCTGTGCCCGTGGGGGCAGGGGTCACTCTGCCCGTCCCAGCAGGACAGGAGTCCTGTGCCCATGGGGGCAGGGGTCACTCTGCCTGTCCCAGCAGGACGGGAGTCCTGTGCCCGTGGGGACAGGGGTCACTCTGCCTGTCCCAGCAGGACAGGAGTCCTGTGCCCGTGGGGGCAGGGGTCACCCTGCCCATCCCAGCAGGACGGGAGTCCTGTCCCCCTAGGGGCAGGAGTCACTCTGCCTATCCCAGCAAGACGGGAGTCCTGTGACCGTGGGGACAGGTGGCACTCTGCCTGTCCCAGCAGGACGGGAGTCCTGTGACCATGGGGGCAGGGGTCACTCTGCCTGTCCCAGCAGGACGGGAGTCCTGTGACCATGGGGGCAGGGGTCACTCTGCCTGTCCAGGGCACCAGAGACACCAACCCTCTCTCACACCACGGCAGCTCCTCCCCGCACCCTTGCAGAGACTTCTTATTGCAGTGGCAATAACCGGCTCTGTCCTCAGAGGTAGGAACAACCATCACCTTGATGAAACTTCTGGTCTAAACATGCCCGAGCTCTTCACAGTTACTTGAAGTGTGAGGCCAGCATTAGGATTCCAAGACGTTCCCTCAGGCCAGCGCTTCCCTCTTCACGTTCCCAGAGTCCGTCACCCCGTTCCTTGGAACCCCCATTGGTAAATCCAGCTGCCTGCTGCTGGGAAGAGATGGGACAGGAGTGTGCTTGAGTGTTCCTGGTTTCCATGGTGACGGGCATCCACAGTGCTGGCAAGGGGCCCGCATGTTTACGACGTCTTCCAGGAGGAAGCGGGCCGTGAAGAGCAGCTGCCGCCGATCATTAAATCATTAATTCCATCCCCGCCCCGAGCAATGGATGGTTTGCCTCCCACTTGGCTGTGTGAGAAAAGTGAATCAAGTTTCTGCTCCAGAAACTCCGACTAAAAAGAGCCATCCTCGGTGGCAGCACTCACGGTGCATACAGTGCAATATTACCGTATGGTTTTATTTTGAAAAGTGGCCGAACGATGACATTCGCAAGGGAAAATCTGGTTAGACTGAAAGGATGGCTCTCTTCCTCTCTGCCAGGGGGTCACGTTCCGGTGGTCCTGGAAGCAGTAACCAGGACGTTCTGCCTTCTCCTCATGGAACATTCTTTCTGAAAGGGACTTCAGGTTTGGTTCATCAGTCTGAGATGCAGCATCTCATGAAGTCAGTGCCTTTTTTCACTCTTAAAATTTATTGAGGCTCTCACAGTGGTTTTGCTTATGTGCGCCGCATCAACATTTAGAAAGACCTTCTGGGTAAACAGCATAGCCAAGAGGAAGAGCGATGAAATAAGATACATCTTTGCTCCGAAACGAACAAAAACGTACAAGTTTACATTGAGAGAAAGGACACTTTGAACCAACTCTAAGACGACCTCAGAGAAAAAGAATTGGTTTTGCTTTAAATAAAATGTTTGCATCTAACCTATTTTTTCTTTTTACTTCTTTTCTAAAGGGTTGATGCATTTCGAAATGCAACTAGGCATTTTCAATATGCTTCAGAGAAAGAGAAATAAGAATGTGCATGTTGTTACCGCACCGAACGTTCCAGGTATATCAGGGATAGGAATGCGGTAAGTAGGGCGTGTCAAAATGTGATGCACAAACTGTCCTGGGAAGAGCCACGCCCTGTGACAGCACCAGGTGGCAAACTGTGTGCACTTTCAATAACGCCGCTAAGGAAGCCGGTCGTGTGTTAGAACTTAGCCTTCGAACATAATCCCTTTTCCTTTATAAGAGTAATGTGGCTTCCTCCGCTAAATTGACCATGCCATAAAAAGAAAACATATTTTGATTCACTTATCACTAAGGAAGGAAAGCCTGGTTTCTAGGTATGACTTTGTTGCCATGGAATCCATGCTGAGGAGCTATTTTCATTATTAAGTTATATTTCCATCTTCAATTAACACCGCATGGCCATGCCCGGCATCAGCTGTACTGACAGCCGTGCTTTGGACAAGGGCTTGTGATGTCTATACGTGACGTTTATGTTTATCCCCCCTTGACTCGGTTTGGGACTCTTTCTTGATTAAAAACAGCAGTTTGACCACCCGATTCAGCCTTTTCCATGTACAAAAACCATGCTTTTTATAGTACATTCCCTAAACAGTTGAGTTTATAAAATTACTACTTCCTCACAAATTCTTAGCTTACAATCTATTTCCATGAGGTTCTTCCTAATTCTGAATCGAATACGATTGGTAAGAATAATGAAAATACACACGTTTTGACATGTCTTATGGGGGTTAGTAATTCCCATCTTCATGGTCCTAAACATCTGGAAAATCTGGAATCTTCTTTCATTGAGCGGTGCTTAAGGAAAGCGACCGCGACTGGCTGAGGTCTTTGCCATTCGCTGGAATCCCTCAGTCTTCAACGTGAAAAGACCGAGTCCCTCTGGCCTGAGGGCCACCTGTGACTTGGAGCGATCTGACCTTTGGTTTCTCTGCAACCAATTCTCCGTCCCTACCTCTGTCCTAGAGCCTTGTGCCAAGCCTGCAAGTCTGTCCTCATTCACAGCTCTGAGCTTCTCAGCATCCCGTACACAGTTAAAATGCTCATTTCCTGTGGCCCATTTCCTGTGCTCTTGATCAGTTTCTCGGGGGTTGGGGGGTTGGGGATGGATAACTCTAACTCTGGCTGTCCGCAGGAATTAAGGAGAAAAGGGTTTAACCAAGTCTTCCTCGAAAGTTTGGCTTCGGCATGTAACATGCAGTGTTAAGAAGGAAGGGCATGCAAAGAAAAATCAAACAACCCTGTCAAAAAGTGGGCAAAGGACATGAACAGAAACTTTTCAAAAGAAGACAGAATAATGGCCAACAAACATATGAGAAAATGCTCAATATCTTTAATCATCAGGGAAATGCAGATCAAAACTGCAATGAGATATCACTTATCTCCAGTGAGAATGGCCTTTATCAACAAGTCCCAAAACAATAGATGTTGGTGTGGATGCAGAGAGATAGGAACACTTCTACACTGCTGGTGGGACTGCAAACTAGTTCAACCTCTGTGGAAAGCAATATGGAGACAACTTAAAGCGATACAAGTGGATCTACCATTTGATCCAGCAATCCCATTACTGGACATCTACCCAAAAGAACAAAAGACACTTTATAAAAGAGACACCTGTACTTGAATGTTTATAGCAACACAATTCACAATTGCAAAGCTGTGGAAACAACCCAAGTGCCCATCAATACATGAGTGGCTTAATAAAACGTGGTATATGTATACCATGGAGTGCTATTCAGCTCTAAGAAACAACGGTGATCTAGCACCTCTTGTATTTTCCTGGATAGAGCTGGAGCCCATTCTACTAAGTGAAGTATCTCAAGAATGGAAAAACAAGCACCACATGTACTCACCAGCAAATTGGTATTGATGGAGCAACACCTAAGTGGACACATAGGAATTACATTTATCGGGTGTCAGGCAGGTGGGAGGGAGGAGGAAGGGGACGGGTATATACATACGTAATGAGTGCGATGTGCACCGTCTGGGGAATGGACATGCTTGAAGCTCTGACCCAGGGGGGAGTAGGGAAGGCCAATGTACATAACCTTAACATTTGTACCCGCATAATATGCTGAAATAAAAAAAAAAAAAGGAGGAAGGGCAGGAGATGGAGGAGTGGCACTCCTGGTCTGCCCATTCCCACTGAGACCCTTCGGCCCCTCTGAGACAGTTACCCGACTGCAGTGACAGCCCGAGGTTTGTCCAAGGTCACCTCTCCAGTGGGATGTGCAGCCACCTCAGCCTCAGGGGGACACCATAGTCCCTCCCAACACGTCTTCACAAAGCCCCTCTGGGAAACATTTTAAGCCTTTGGTGTTTTGTTTTGTTTTGTTCATTCAGGATCTTTATAATTGTTGAGCATAACAATTTCTGCTCAACTGAAGCATTCCACTCAACAAAACGAGGTGTGTTATGCAAATGTTTCATGTGATGGCTGTTGACTTGCTGGCTAACGTGATTATTCTCTCTTCTTTTTTTTTTGCATAATATTTGGAATTTAAAAACTGCCTCATGTTTCTACACCTCCTAACCTTAGGTCCGTAATTGTAAAATTCGTAAGGATTTTCTATGACAGTAAGCATGACTTCTATCTCACAGATAAAAAAAAATCTAAGACTCTGAAAGGGGTAAAGGAAACAAACATCTGAAGCATCTTTGTTGCGGGGTTACTGATGAAAGTGGCTGAATTCAGAGAAGTTAATGTGCAGAAGTCCAAGCGCTAACCTAAGTCCCGCGGCTCTTCTGTCGGAAGCGACATTACAATTAAGACACTTCTTATGCCATCTGTAAGGATTTCACTATGGAATTAGGCATGGCAAAGGGGAAAAAAATACAACTTATCATTTAGAACAATAATTATTTTTTTTCATTTTTGCTCCAAATGTTATTTCCTCTACCAATATCCAAAACGCGATTAACTCAGAGGCTTTAACATTTTAACATATTTTCGTATTTTACTTAGTTTCATATTTTTATATTTAACCGTTAACAATATCAGAAATTCACTTTAGTATCTAATGCAAAATAGGCATATATGTATGAAAGGATACTCTATTCCCGACCTATTGAATTATGCATCCCTTCCCCATCGATTTGAAAGGCAGCTTTTACTATGTACTGAAGAGTTACATATGTTTCAAGATTTACGTTCTGTTTCTTGGCTGTGTGTTCCGGCCCATTGATGGGTTTGTCTAATTTTAAGCTAGCAGCTCTGTGGAGGCCGCAGCTCATGCTGCAGCCTCACGTCTGCCGTAGCAGACTTTGCTTTTTCTGCATCTTTTTCTAAAATCCACCAAGATTTGTGTTGCTCATGAAATTTCAAAGGAATCTCTAGAATGATTTTTTAAGCACTATCTCAGTAGAATCCTCAATGGAATTGGAACACGTTTCTGGACTAATTTGAGAAGTGTCTATGTGTTTTCAACACTCCACGCTGCCCACTGGTGACGCTGGTTGTCTCTCGATTTTCCCACCGTCTTTCATGACCTTGGCACTGTTGCCTCCTATAGCTTCTCTACAGGTTTTGCTACTTTTATTTCCAGATTAGATTTTTTAAAAAAATCAAACAGAATATGGGCCCTTTTAAGACAGAAATGTGTGTCTCATTGACATTTAGTATCATAAAATATAAATGTGGGTTACTTATTTTATCTTCATTCTGGGATTTAAAAAAGTTCTTGCCCACTGTTCCTCTATGAATATAAATGGCGTTTCTATTTCTGCGTTTCTCTAGCGATTTTAAAAGCATAAATTCACTAGAATTCTTTAATTACATTCAAAACCACATTTAAAATAAATCTATTTGAATCTGTATTTTTCTTTTCAACATACAGTCTAGTGTATGTGTCTTAGTTTTGTTCATGTTGTTTTTAAAATAAATGTTGATGTGGTTTAAAGTTCCAATTTATTGCACTTCACTTTATGTGTGTGCATATTTGCAATGTTTGGTGCAAATCCTTTTATGCTCAACTTCTCTCTTCTTGACATTGGTTATTGTGAAAGCATTTCTCACTCGCCTGATTTTTTTCTTGTGCGTGGACACGGCGTGGAGTGTGGGCTGCGGGTGGGGGCCGGGCTGTGGACGGGGCGGGGCGCTCGGTGCGGGCCAGGCTGAGGGGCTGCGTGGCCGGCTGAGCCAGGACCTCCCAGGGAGGGAGCCCGAGCCAGGCTGAGGGGCTGCGTGGCCGGCTGAGCCAGGACCTCCCAGGGAGGGAGCCCGAGCCGCACCCG